GTCAACTCGTTGCTCCCCCCCCCCCTTTGCTGCCTCTTGCACCAGTCCAACTGCTGTGCCTCTGTGTTTCAAATGTAGCCCCTACCCTGTGGGGCTCTTGCTACATTTGAAAGGCTGAGGTGGTGCAGCGGGAACCCGGGGTGAGTGGGGACTCAAGCAGACCCCTCTAGTCCCATTTCCCCGCTGCGCCTCTTCCTTTTAAATGTAGTAAGAGCTGCCTGTGGGGAGAGGAGTAAGACTGGCACAAACGGGGACTGCTTCAGTCCCCGCTCACGCCGTATCCCACTGCGCCTCTGCCTCTCCTGCCATCCCCCTCCCTGCAGAGATGGTACTGGGGGAACCAACTTTTAAACTGGCTCCCCTAGTACTGGTTCCTGTTCCACCTTCTCCTTGTTTCTTCTGAAGAGCCCACAGCTCTTATTATATTTAAAAGGCAGAGGCGCATCCAGGATAGGGAGTGCTCCTCCCCACCATTTATCAACTAATTAAGTACTTGATGGAAATTCCATCGACTACTCGATTAGCTGATTAATTGAAATTTAACATCCCTAAAATGCAGTTTGTTCAATATTATTTTTTGGTCAAGTTTTCTTTTTGACATGCTTCAGTGGTTTAGACTGGAAGGTTTAATTTAATCAGCAGTACAGCCCTGGCATTGAAAAGTTGCCCTGACTGTCCATTTGAAATGGGCCAGATTAGGCCAACATAGGGAAGGATAATTATTTTCATGTGCATAGTAGTGCTCCTAGTTAATTGGTGGTATGGAGGCAGGGTGAGCTGAAGCTGGGATGTTCCAACTCCTCCTTGCCCTACTCCTGCTAGTCTTGTGGCTGTGCTGTGCTAGGTTGGTAGGAGACCTCAGAGGAAATGAAGCCTTTCATTCTGTAGAATTTGGATTTGCCTGGGTGCCTCAAGCAGGCTGTATACAATCCACGGGCAAGGTGTTTATACTACTGCTTTGAGCCATTTATTCTGTTCATAACATGTAGACAAGCTTTCTGAGTTCTAGTTCTGATTTTGCTACTCACTTTCTATGTAGCTTTGAACAAGTCATTGCCTTCCTTTGAGTCCGTTTCCCTCACTTCCGCATGTGGTAGTCAATGTTCCCTCTAATTTTTTCCATCCATGGGCAGAATTCCATTTTATGTGCGAATGAGTACCACCAATAGAAACACATGCTGTTGGCTGTGAGTGCTGTGCTAATCATCTGGGCTGCATTTGAATCTGTCCTCGATGGTTGCCCAAGCATAATATTGGTGGTAGTGTACAACCTCACAGCATTGCTGTGAGGTTAATGTTTGTGTTTTTTACAGTACATCATAAAGTGCTAAGTAAATGTTAAAAGTTATTTAATTTCCTTTCACATTATTTTCTGATCTAAGACCATATCAAATGGCTTCTCAATATATCAGTGCACCATATTCAGTGAATTTCCCTTATCTTTTTATGGCTAAAATAGCTTGAAAGAACAGATTTATGAAGTATAATCTTTCCTGTTTGAATTCATGGTAGGCTGAGTTTCCTACAGCACTATGAATAATCCTTGCTGATGTATAGTCACACAGCTTGTCTCTTAATCCTTTATTTAAATAATGGAATTATGTTTGCAGATTCCCCAATGCTAAGGAATCTCTGCAAAATCCTGTGAACTTTTTACAAATGTCAGTTAAGAGTTCACTGGTTTCTTTGCTTACTTCCCTTGAAATTTTATGTATATCTGTTCTCCAGGTTTTAATGCATCTAACTTTTCTGTAATTAATTTTGTTATGTGTAGAGTACGCTACCTCTATTAGAACAAGAACATAATTAGTTCAGGAGGACTGTTCCAAAAGCAAAATAATTTTAAGTATGCATTTAGAGCTTGATGACTACTGATTTCAATGAGAATTGTGATGTTCAGCATCTATCAAGAGCAAGCTCTGCAAGAGAAACTTTGGGAGACTATCTAGCTTCTAATCCTGCTTATTCCATTTATTCTTCTCTCTAAGTACAATTTTTCAGATACAGGAGATCTTCACTTTCTTATGAGAGGAAGTGAGTCAGGTGGCCTCTTTAGAAGCTATAAAATTTTGGTTTTATTTTAAGTGATCATTGCTTCTTCTCAGAGAAGTTCTTTGAAACAGAAAGAAAAGCCTTTAAAGCTGGAAAAGCAACTACAGTAGAACCTCAGCGTTACTAACTGACAGGTCAGCCATTTAACACACCTCATTTGGAACTGGAGGTATGAAGTCAGGCAGCAACAGATGGTTAAAAGCATAATTTTCCTTCTTCAAAGTTTAGCTTCAAAGCTGTATTAAGTCAGGGTATGTCTAGACTACATGGCTCCGTCAACAGAGCCACGTAGATGAGTTTACTAGATATAGGAAAATGAAGCGTCAATTTAAATAATCGCCACTTCATTTACATCAAAATGGCCGCCGCGCTGTGCCGATCAGCTGTTTGGTGGCACAACGGGGCAGTCTGAACGTACCGTGGTCGACAAGGGAAGCCTTTGTCGACCGCTCCGGTAAACCTCATTTCACGAGGCATAACGGAGTGGTCAGCAAAGGCTTCCCTTGTCGACCACGGTACGTTCAGACTGCCCCGTTGTGCCACCAAACAGCTGATTGGCACAGCATGGTGGCCATTTATTTAAATCGCTGCTTCATTTTCCTATGTGGGCCCTTTCCTACAGAGGCCCAGATGTCCAGTGGGGAGCCTCACTACCCCCACGTCCCGGGGACAAACAGGTATGGGAAGGTGCCAGCCAGAGCGGGATCTTGTGGGTGGGAGTGGGGCCACAGGACGGCTGGGCTTTTTCCTCTATGCTGGATCCGGCAGTGGCAGCATCCCATGGAAAGAGGACTTGTATCCCTGCCCACTGGAGGAGAGGGGGGCAAGGTGTTGTGGGGAGGCGTGTGTGAGTGGCAGATGCTCTTGTGCCTTGCCACACTGTCCCCAGGACAGGTGCTGCTGGGTGTATGCGAGCATGCCCATGTGCCATGAGCAGTGCTCCTGAGTACGTGTGTGTCTCCATGTCCCTAGCCTTCTTCTAGTGGTGGCTTGTGGTGGGAGCCCGCCCTACCCCGGTATCAGGAGTTTTAGAAGCCTCCTCAAACCTGTGAGCAATAGCACAAGGGTCCTCTGGTGCAGCCTCCTGGGGCTGTGTGCCCCGGACTAGCACGGGCTGCTACACAATCCCCAAGCCGAGAAGGGTGAGCGAGGCACGTGCTCCAGCCTCTCAGCACCGGCCGTCTCCACTCTGTGGGTATGTCTACACTAACCCCCCAGTTTGCA